ATATATATATATTATCCAATAAAAATATTGGAAATATTTTGTTTCTTTGCTCATATTTATTATAAAAGCAAGACAAGTGACAAAATTTTATGAACAATTATTGATTATTTACTTTTATTGCACGTTATCGAATTTGTCATAAAATATTTGACAAAATAGATATATTATCCCATTTGAAAAAATAAATAACTGTCATAAATAATATTTGAAAAAAAATAATTAAAATTTTGGTTTATTATATATACAGATCTTCTTAAACAAAAAAAAAATTTTTTAACTTTTTTTATGTAACTATTATTTTAAAAAGTAACTGCGTATATACACACTTTTCTTTCTTTTTGTAACATTTAATAAAAAACATTTTGTCTTCTGGTTTTGTACACGTGATCTTATTCCATACATACGCGGATTTCACACATATACACAATGACATTGGTGGATGTTTATTATAGTTCTCATAGAATACTTCTGGACAAAGAGTTCGGTATCTCGGCGGAATTACTATTGCCTTTGTTAGTTTATGATGACGCAATTTTAAATGTCTAGACTACTCCATATGATATATGTGCTTTATTAATTTATTACGGATAAAGAGTACATGCTTTCAGAATTTATTGTAAACATCGTTACTTTATATGATTTTCTATTTTCTTAGCAATTACATATATATTATATGTCTATTAGTGTTATTCATCAGTCAATTAACTTATTTCATAAATAATAATTAATATTATTTATGTCCACACACAACTATTTATTTCCATTATTGTTATTCGATTAAACTATTATTTGACGCATCTTGTGTCAAGTCCGTATAGAGTAAAGAACGGTGAAATATGATAGTGTGGTACTCAACAACTGTAATATGACGTACATTTTCTCGTTTTACTTATTACTCCTTTTATTTGTTAAACATATTTTATGTTTGTGAAATATATAGTGTTTATAAGTGTATACACTCAGTTATTATTTTATATTTATATAATAGAGTTTTACATATATGTATATATTTCCGGACATATGTTTATATAACATTTTTTTCTTGTTTTTGCGTGGAGAACTCATCCTCAAAGTTTGCTGAAGTATTTCTGAACTACCCTGTATATATATTTGGAATAAAAATTATTTTGTTTAAAAGATTTATAATGTTAATAATAAATAATTTTTAGTAATATTTTATAAATACAGATTAATATAATAAACATTTTTATTACAGATGTTTTATTTTCCTACTCTCACATATCTATTATAGAAGCAACACAAATGACAATATTTTATCAACAATTATTGATTTTTATTTCACTTTATTGCACGATATTGAATCTGTCATAAAATATCTCTTATAATTTTTAGTAAGATGGATATGTTATTCCATTTAAAAAAATAAAACTGTTACATGAATAACATTTAAAACAAGATGAAAATTGTGCAAATTAGAAACTTGCACATTGCTTTCTCATCATTTTATTTTACTCACAAAGCTTAAGCTCCTTAAAGCAAACAGATTTTTGCAATTGAGATATCGGCTTCCTCATTGAAGAAACCGATATCTCGAAATTTGCGAAAGTTAGAGCATGTACAGACATTTCTCAAAAAACTCAAAATTTTATAAAAAAATGTATCCTTCCACCGATCCCCACCAAATTCAATACCAAACATCCTAGGCAAACGAAGCTGTCGGCAATCGGGAATGTAGGCAAACGGAGCCTCCTCCATGTCTATGCAGTGTAATTAAATTGGAATATTTTTCTTGATTAATAAAATATTCTGTCACTATATACGACGAAGAATGTAAACGAGATTTGTTTGCGAAAATCAAAATATACGGCTAAGTATATAGTAAAAGTAAAGCAAAAATAAATTGGCAGAATATCTCAACTATTTAGAAAGGTTTTAAAATAATTATATATAAATCAATAGGTAAATTATTTTCTTTAATTTTTTAAGTTTTTTGTATATGCAATTTATTTATTTGACTGTAAAAATATATAAGAATATAAAAAAAAGGATCAAGAAATATTATCTTACATATAAGTCTAATTGTAATACGCTATTTTGCTTTGTTTCCATATTTTTCTATAATAGCGATTTCATTTTTCTCTATTATCTCATTACACACATCTTGAAGTTGATTAAGTGAACTCCGTAACTATCATATTAACAATATCGTATGCTGTTTTCTTTTTTTGCAACATTCGGGAATTATTACATTTGATCTTTTGTATTCTTTCTTCGCGCTTTGGTCTCTCTAACTCCACGAAATTAATTAAATGGTACATTACTTAAGGTTGTTGAAATTGTCTTGAGAAGTTCTTGATGATGCTGACAATAAAAGTATACCATTACATTAAAAAAATTGAGTTGACTTTGAAATTATCTTAAAAATAATGTTAAATTGCATAACTCTGATGGCATCGTCATATGTCCCTCATCCATCTAAGCAATTTTTGTTTAAAACATATTTTTGTGTTATTAATAGTTTCAAAGTTATTCACCTGTAACACTTTAAATGGACCACCCTATATTAACACAAACAATTGTGGGGGGCTACAATGTATCTATAATATATCTTACGCTGTGGAGTATACTTGATTGATATGATTTGTAATTTCTTGCCCGGCATAATTAATTACAAACATGTATGAAAGAATGATAGATACAAATATCAGGTGTAATAGAAATGCTTCATTATCTCCAAGCGATGCATTTCGAAAAATGTAAAACATCATTATTATAGTTATCATTTTTTATATGTGCGATTATATAGTTTGCATGAAATATAATATTGTTAGAAAAAAATAATAAATCGGAAAATACAAAGAAATAATTCACATACTAAGATTTCTCTTAAAATTTATAATTTTATAATTAGCACTATTTGACATTTGTATTATCAGTTATTTTTATTACTCTCTGATTATATCTTTGTCATCTAAGAATTTTTTGAGTTTTGGTTTTTATGAAATAGCATATATGTCTGCTGCTCAACACGATAAGTTTTAAGAATTCAAGAGAAATGTTCAGGCTCAAAGAATTCACATCAAGGTCTGCATGATTTCATATTTTTTTTGCGGTCTGAAAAAAATGAATAATTTCTTATAGTTTTTTGTGCGTTGAATCCGCAAGGCAAAATGGCCTATTACATCAGATTTTTTAGAAAAATGGTGTTGAAACTTCCAAAAAACGCGTTTTTTACCATTTCTGAAAATTCGTAGCAGACAAACCGGGTGTGCAAGAGACTTCAGACAGGGCTCGAATAAAAGCTTGAACATTGTATTTAATATAAAAATATCGAATCTTTTACCGCAGATACCATCGAACCTCAGGCGCGTTTTGTTTTTAAGTATAGTCGCAATTGTGTCAAGTGGAACGATTTCCCCATGCAGTCCGATTGCAAAACCGTTGCAAACAATAAAAATTTTAATCATAGATTCAATACACGAGGTTAAAAATGCTTAATCGCACTAAAAACATTTCTTTTTTATTTGTTAAAAAATTATTGTTTAAACAATTTTTAAAAGATAACGATTTTTTACAAATATAATAAAATATGATCTTCCATTTTTATTTATTAAATATACTATTAAAATTTTACTATTAGCAAATATATACTATTAGCTAATTTTACAGTCTTGCAGTCGATTTGCATGGGGGCAATCGTTCTACTTGACACAGTATGGCTACACCTAAAAGCAAAGCGCTGAAGTTCGATAGTACCTGCGATAAAAAATTTGATATTTTTATATTAAATTACAATGTTCAAGCTTTCATTTGAGTCCTGTCTGAAGTTTTTTGCACACGTCGGGTTCGTCTACTACAAATTTTCAAAAATGATAAAAATAGCGTTTTTTGAGGATTTCAACCCCGTTTTTCTCGAAAACCTAATGTGATAGACCATTTTGCCTTATGAATTTGGATTCACCATACAAAAAAACTGTAGAAAATCACTCGTTTTTTTCAGACAATCTTGCAAAATCATATAGATTTGTGTAATCTTCCATTTGAAAAAATAAATCTGTCATATAAATAATATTAAAAAGAAAACAATTACAAAAATTTTTGTTTAAGTTATTATATACATATGTATAAACCTTCCTAAACAAAAAAAATTTAAACATTTTTTTATACAACTCTATTATTGAAAAAAAAATAACTAATTGTAAGTGTATACACACTTTCTACATTTTTTTGTAACATTCAATAATAAAAATTTTGTCTTCTGGTTTTGTACACATAATCTTATTCCACATATACGCGGAATTTACACACATACATAATGACATTGATAGATGTTCATATATTTTTCATAAAATACTTCTGAACCAAAAGTCTGGTATCTTAGCGGAAGTACTGTTGCCTTCGTTAGTTTACGATAACGCATTTTAACATGTCTCGATATGACATATGTGCTCTATTAATTTGTTACGGATAAAGAGTATATGTTTCCAGAATTTATTGTAAACATCGTTACTTTATATGCTTTTCTATTTCTTTAGCAATTACATATTTATTACAGTGTTATTCATTATTCGGTTAACTAATCTACTTTGTAGATAAATAATTAATATCACTCAACTATCTATTTCCACTATTGTTATTCGATTAAACTATTAATCAACGCATCTTGTATCAAGTCCGTATAGAGTAAAGAACGGTAAAGTATGATAATATGGTACTTAATAACTGTAATGAGTTACATTTTCTCGTTTAACTTGTTATTTCTTTTATTCGTTAAACATATTTTACGCTTTTGAAATATATAGTGTTTTATTTAAGTGTATACACTCAGTTATTTTTATTATTATTTTTTATATAATAGAGTTATATATACATATAAATATTTGGAATAAAAGTTATTCTTTCGTTTTTAACATAAACACGTGAAGTCTCATCTTTGTTTCAATGTGTACTTAAATTGTGGAAAAGGATTTATTATTCTATTCAACTAAAAAAAAGATTTTGATGTGCAAAATAATAATCTTTTGGTCGGTAAAACAGACGAGCTGTTGGATCCCCTTAAAGACACATTTTCTTAACTATTAGAAAATATTTGTTACGTCCAGACTCGGGGAAGGATGAGTCGACGGAAGGGCGCAACAACTATCTTTTATTATCCCGAAGTTAAACGTGGCGTTTGGAATCGGGTCGAACGAACTGACAGGTCTGAAAAGCAGGTAAAC